TGCAGTCCTGTTGTGTGTCTTTGTGTCTCGTTTTGGTCTAACATTAGCTTGGGTTGGTGTGATAACGGCGGCACACGCAGCGCGGTGTTAAACGGTTTCAAACGCACTCTCTGGTCTGTAGGATGAGGCTCATAAACCGTGTGGCGCAGGTACCCCGCTTCCACCTCGCCGGCCTACTTAATCAGAGAAATGTCAGCGCCTTCACCCGCTGCTCCACTTTCATCCACGTTTTTATGGCGCCAAATTAGATCCTCGCTGATGAGGACTTAAAAAAGCCAGCAGGCGGAGAACCGGCAAGAAACAGAGAGGGGCGAGGAAGATTAGAGGAGGGAGAGGAAGAGGAGGATGAAGGGATGGAGGCTGAGTCAGTCGGTCTGTCAGACTCCTGCTGGAGGTGAATCACAGTCAAGCTGAATGCTGATGGTTTACAAATAAAGTGATAATAACAGTGCTCACACACAGACACACACAGTGAGTCAGGAAGTGAAAGTGTTCTGCAGCTCGTTGTTTCTGCTTCATTTAGCCGTCCGTCAGCAGGCTGGAAGAAACAGTGTGTTGATGAATGCGTGCACGGTCCCGTGTGTGTGTGTGTGTGTGTGTTGCCTGATCGCACAAAATGAGCGGCTGTAATGAAATCTGTGATTGCTGCACCGTAGGCGAGCAGGGTCATTGTAATTAAGTGTGATTAGGAGGCAGCGTTTCTCGTTCTCCACCTCTGATTCACTCACAGAGGGGCGACTGCACCGCCTCTCCTCCCACATGTGATACATGTGCACGAACGTGTGCACGAACGTGTGCACGAACGTGTGCACGAACGTGTGCACGGGCCTCATACGCCTCGGGTAGAGCAACGGATAAGAAGAGATGTGAAGTGACATGGAAATAACTGTCTTTGCAGCAGACGTGTAGTTAACCCAAGTTTGTGCAGAGAAAACAGAAGGAGGGACTTTTATTTTGAAAAGTCAAAATATATAGGGTCTGATTGGCCGCAGTTCTTACAGTTAGCCTCTTAAAATCCACGTTAGCTGATTAGGGGAGGGGCTACCTTTTGTATATACCACTATGGTGACCTGGTGCTCAGCAATTATAGACCTGGAGGTCTTTTTGTTGTCCTCCTCGCTCTGCTCTTTGTAAATTTTATGTCTTGTGTTGTGTTACGTGTGTTTGTCGTGTGTTTGTGTCATTGCATGTCAGACAGCTATGAGCACAAACATGGACGCGTCTGCATTAAAGGTCTGAGACTGAATAAAGAAAGCTAAACCCTGGAAGTAGACTGGCTTTCTCATTTCATCAGAGGTCAAAGGTCGGTGGATTTAGCAGCTGTGTTTTAGGATTATGTTGCTATGCTGCAGTGTGCTGTAAGCAACTGTTTACAGGGATTTAAAGGCAAACTTCCAGGGACTGCGTGACACTGACAGCCCCTCAGCACAGTAACAGCTCTTTGATACTGAAATAACTGAGCTGTGACCAACATGGCTGCAGCTGTTCTTCCTCTCTGCTTTCAAGATTAGGCTTCAAACTTTCCTTTTTGCTAAAGCATATAGTTAGGGCTGGACCAGGTGACCCTGACTCCTCCCTTAGTTATGCTGCAATAGACGTAGGCTGCCGGGGGATTCCCATAATGCATTGGGTGTTTCTTCTTCACTCACCATGTGTTAACAGACCTCTCTGCATTGAATCATATCTGTTATTAACCTCTGTCTCTCTTCCACAGTATGTCTTTATCTTGTCTTCCTTCTCTCACCCCAACCAATCACAGCAGATGGCCCCGCCCCTCCCTGAGCCTGGTTCTGGAGGTTTCTTCCTGTTAAAAGGGAGTTTTTCCTTCCCGCTGTCGCCAAAGTGCTGCTCATAGGGGGTCATATGATTGTTGGGTTTTTCTCTGTATGTGTTATTGCAGGGTCGACCTTACAGTATAAAGCACCCTGAGGCGACTGTTGTTGTGATTTGGCGTTGTGTAAATAACATTGAAATGAAATGTGAACAGGAAGTGGAATCATGTAGTGGAGAAAGCAGAGGCATTTTTATCGTCAGCTGGATTTTGAGTGGATACGAGATGTTCCCAGTGATTCGTGGAAATTAGCCGTCAGATCAAATTATCTCTGAGACCCTCGACGGGGTTCCAGCGTCGCCGCTCTGGGCCTTAAGTAAAGATCATATCCTTCAGCCACAGTCTTTAAAACACAAACGGCTGGCTACAGGAGCCCGCTGGGCCCAATTCAGAAGGATGGATTGTTTTATTTTCAGGGAGAATATCATCTGTTTTACCCTCTAAATGTGCTGTTATCACAGGCACGGCACATCCTGTTGAGACCTGTGAGTGAGGACTGTGTTATCTCGCTGCTGCAGCTCAGGGAAACATGTCGCCTGGTTTTAGCCTGAAATACAGCAGCTCTGTTCATTAGCGCGTCGCGAGCTTTTGACTTCCTGTGTTTGTTCCGGGTCTCAGTTTATTTGAGGCCCTTCTCTGTTTGCCGAGAGGCTGCAGAGGATTTTTCTGTCAGTCACAGAAGGATTTGAGTGATGTGGTGTGTTTGTCATGCAGGGACTCTGCTGAGGAACTTTCCAACAACACAGTTTTAGTCTTTAATCATTGGCTTTTGGTCAAGATGACAAAAACCGTACAGACTGATCAGAGGGGAAACCGACAAAACTAACAAATGTTCAAAGTGTTACTGTGAGCAGAGAGAAACATGGCCGACACCAGAGCAGCAGTGACTAAAACACTTTGACCATGACGGCCTTCGCTGTGGTGAGCCGACGATCTCAACGACTGTGACCGCTGATTACTCACAGGCGTCGCCACTACGAGGAGATGCAGCGGCTCCGCCCCGCACCATGACAGAAACCTAACGAGTCGGGCTTGCTGATTGGACGACTGCGTTGGTGCCAGCTGTTGTTGTGTGTGTGGTTTTATTTTGTTGACGAGTGATGTGCTGAGGATCGGTGCAGGGCTTCCCGGAGCATCGCACTGATCCACTGACAGCTGTCTGCACGTCCACGGCGAGGGCGAGCTGCTCACACAGGATTCAGTTACTTTTACAAGCAGCAGAGATGTGAGACTCTGGAGGAGATGAAGATCCTCGGCGTGTGACTCTCAGAATAAAACGCTGAAATGGTCAGTCTGAACACGCTGACATGAAACACATCATTTTAGATTCGGTTTGATCTGCTGAGGATGAGCACGCCGCTCAGAGAGAAATCCCTCTGCGTCTGCACGATGACGCTCTCCAGCACGTCCAATGTGCCGATTCAGTTCAGAGAGCCGCCGCTGCAGCAGATGCGGCCCGCTGGGTAATAATGGAGGGTGAAGGAATCTGTCAGAGACGCCAGAACAGCGAGGAGATGGTGACGCTCTCACACTCAAACAGTGTTTAATGGATCTAATTCATGTTCAGCGCTGCCCCGTTTTTAATTAGAAACTCTGGACGGGCCGGACGGCGTGCAGACGGAGCGCGCTCACAAATCTCACATGCTCATAAATGTCTTATTTTTATATGAGGCAAAGATCAAATTCAGCTTCTTCTTCTGATACATTCATGGAAACCTCCATCTGGGGTCTCCGCCGCCTGTTTGTTTTGACCTCTGACCCCCTGGAGGTTCAGGTCTCACACGGAGGCTTGCAGCGGCGCCGTCCTCCCACACAAGCGCTCGTTAATAGACATCAGTGACGAGCAGAAGGTCAGTAAATCCGAGTCCTCTGCCGTCGTCACGGCGCATTAATGTCAGATGGGAATGCCAGCGTGTCGGATCATCGCTGCCTCTGATTGGCTGTTTCGTTTTCCTGTCAGGGCTGCCGATCGATGCTTCAGCTCTCCCGTCATCTCTCTCCTTGCCTCAGAGGCGTGGACCGTCCTCGCCTCCCAGCTCACCTCGCCGTCTCAGATCAATGCTGGCCGAGTTTTATTGAAGCCGGCAGGGGGCGAAGAGGAAGTCCACAGGAAGTCCAGTCATGTTGATGTGATCCATACAAAGCGATTCACACTTCATAATAATCCTTCTTTGTCTTATTCTGGGCCTTGTAACCGGAAGGTCACCGGTTCGATCCCTGGGCTCTCTGTCCTGGTCGTTGTGTCCTTGGGCAAGACACTTCACCTACCGCCTACTGGTGTTGGTCAGAGGGGCCGATGGTGCGATATGGCAGCCTGGCTTCTGTCAGTCTGCTCCAGGGCAGCTGTGGCTACACCTGTAGCTGCCTCCACCAGTGAGTGACTGTGAGAGTGAATGAATAGTGGCATTGTAAAGTGCTATATAAATGCCATCCAATCCATTTGAGCCGTAAAACAAACGTGTTCAGCGCCTCGTTCTGCTCACCTCAGCACCTCATGTTCATGACTCCTGTTCAGACTTCTTCAGTACAAAAACGATCAATAACTCCAGTTTTTATTAGCGGCTGAACAACAGAACCAATCAGCGTTAATATTAATGAGACCTCGTTAACCTGCAGCTCAGGCTGATGAACAGCCGAGCAGCAGAAGGTCCTAAAAGCTCGTGAAAACATCTAAACATGTTAATAAAAGCTTTGAATATTGTAACAGTAATAAAATGTGGTAAAAGTGGTTTTATAACTCTTATTTACATATATATAATTATCACAATGTGACATATACACCATAAAATGTTAAGAAAAGCATGAATTTACTTTATAATTCACCACCAGATAAATACACATATATGTAATCATTTATAAGGGAACAGTCAAACACGGTCACACCATCTTATCATCAGAGCAACAGGAAAAGCTCACGCCATAAGTGATCACATGACGGCGTCAGGTTGAAGCTTACATGAAGTCGTTTTTCGAGATGACACGTGAACATCTGGCCTGTTTTTATGTTCAGCGTGCGCTCGTGTTGTTTTGGTTCATGCTGCAGACTCATCTCGCCATCATGCAGATGTTTATAATAATCACCTGTCCAGTCATTCCTGAAGAATCCTTCTGCGTCACCTCCACGCTCCCCTCCTAACATCCCCTGTTTCCTTCCACTCTCCTCCTGCAGATCCCTCAGATCAGCTACGCCTCCACGGCGCCAGAGCTGAGCGACGACCGGCGGTACGACTTCTTCTCTCGGGTGGTCCCTCCGGACAGCTTCCAGGCTCAGGCCATGGTGGACATCGTCAAGACCATGGGCTGGAACTACGTCTCCACGGTGGCGTCAGAGGGTAGTTACGGCGAGAAGGGCGTGGATGCCTTCATGCAGCTCTCCAGAGAGGCGGGTAAGGTCTGCACGAGCTCGTAATAAGCTGTAAGGTGGGGGTCAGGGGTGGGATTAAAGCGTTGTTTTTACGCTTCTGCATTTAAGACAGGCGTCCAATCAGAGCGGTGTTGTGATGAGGGCGTAAAACTCACGAAGGTTCATTTGCTGCCGTTAGGGCGGGCGTTTGGCGTGATGCTGAGGTCGTCTCTTTGGGCTGCAGGATGAAGGTTTCGCTCGTCAGAAGCAGTTTCGGAGATTCCAGGTTGCTTTCTGACTCCTCACACAGACTCAGGTGTAGTTTAGCCTAAAAATCCAACAAAGGTAAAACATGCCGAACCTGACCAATGGGCTCCTACCACCTGTCGCCTGGAAACGGCGTGCTCAGACAACTGTGGACTGTTGTGGCCTGCAGCAGGTTGGTTTCTCTGGGCTCGCGACACACTCGACCCTGCTTTTACTAACCGTGTGCTGGAGGCGCCGTCAGACACTCGTCCTGCAAACACTGAAGAAGCCGAACAAACTGTTGAGTCAGAGGAGCTGGAGCGGAGTTCATTAGAGCGCGTGGCGCCGCTGATTGCTCTCTGAATAATCTCGCTGACATTTGCAGCCATCTGATGGCTCTTCACAGCCCACCGGTTAGGATGCGTCCTGACATTTATGCTCTGCGTTTTTTAGCGGATTATTAAAGGACGCGGCGCTGACGGGGAGCGTCTTTAACACCAAACAGTTTCCCAATGTTTCTAAATGGATCGAGCCCGGGTCATCGATCTGCGCTGGCTTTTGAACGGCGTTCAGATGAAATGAACGGCACAGCGGTCGTCCGGTGTCACCCGAGCAGAACTCGCCCTCTTCATCTGCACAGCCGCCTCCTCTCAGGCTTAATCTCCCACAGCCTCCTGGCTTCAAAGAGAATACAGCAATCAGCGGGAATGAGCAGCCTCTCAGTGCTGTGAGCAGAGAGGTCTGCAGGATGTCAGAGTCGTGTCACTATATTTAGGAAATATATAGAAGCTGATATAGAACAAATCCTGAATGTGTGACTGATGCTGGGAGCTTGCGGGTGGTGTTGCAGTGAGCTGCTGTTCCTGGTCCTGCCTGTGTCTAACCACGAGGTGCCGGCAGCAGCGTTACAGTGCAGGAGCCACACAGCAGACGTTAGTGTGAGCGTCTGCAGCTTAACACTCACTTTATCCTTGATCCATACACTTCCTCTTCCTGTCACATGACGTGCAATTAGTGACGCTCAACGGGATCATTTGCTGTAAGCACGTCCTCCTCTGTAGCCTGGTGGTGTATGTTGCCTCCACCTTCAGCAGGAGCAGGTTTCTGGTCCTGGGCCCCCGAGTCTGAGAGGTGTTTTGGGGGCAGAGATACTTCTGTTTCAGGTCTGTGTGGAGCCGGCACCAACAGCTGGCCCCGCCCACTGGCTGCTGCTGACTGAATCCTGGCCTGAGGCTGGCGTGCTGCTCTCGCTGTCGGACATGGCTGCTCTCATGATGTTTGTAACCAGCTGAATGTTTTGGTGATGAAGATCAAACCTCCTTAAAGATTAGAAACCTGTGAAATGAGACGCTGCTCCTCGTTGCAGACGTTTGTTTTCGGGTTTCCTCCACGCTCGGCTCTCTGTGCATCGCTAAGAAACTCTCTCATTCATCCAACTTTAACACTGAGTCAGCGCGCTGCTTTCAGCAAACACAAGTGAGACTTCTGCACTAATGAGCAGCATCTGAGAAAAACTGCATCCCAAAGCTGCTAATTCCTCTGTTCCAACAGAGAAACATTTAAACAGCCTCTAAAAATAGTTTCAAGTAAAGAGACGAACTCATTAGCAAAAATATTAAAACCTGAAACAGTGATTCAGATACTCTGTGAGGAGCATCGGGATCACTTACTCCTGTGAACCGGATTAAATTTATCAAGCAGACCATAAAATTAGCTCAGTGTGTGTGTGTGTGTGTGTGTGTGTGTGTGTGTGTGTGTTATCTGCAGATTAGTGAATAATCCAGCGAGTATCGATCGCCGGAGCTTCCTGTCGTGTCGGCCCTGATTAGCAGCAGGATCACTGCTCACTGTGTGGACTGCAGAGTTTAAACCAGTAACGAGCTTCCAAACTAAAGTCCCAGAAACAGCACTGTGCTCACACACACACACACACACACACACACACACACACACACACACACTGAGGGCCGATGGGAAACCGGACACGGTGGGGAATGAAACACAGCTGAACTCCATAAACACAAAGCAGGGAGGTCAGAGCCCGACGCAGGAAGCTGACGTCTCGTAGCACGCATGCTTCAGTTCCTCCTCTACCTCCCATAATTCATAGCGACACATAATTGGAAGCAAAAGTTTTCATGATTTCATGAAAGTCACCAACAAACTGCCACAGATCCCTGACGTGTTCAGTAAAAGTGTTTTTCCATAACCTGCTGATAGATTTAGGCTGTTAAACCCACAGCTGAGCGTCTCACCGCTGGAGGAACATCTGCTTCCTGTCGGCGTGGCTCCTGATGCGAACAACGTCTAAAACTCCCAAACTCTCTCACTCTTGACGATGAGTGTTAGTATTGGCTCAGTCACAGGGAGCAGGACAGTCCGTCAGCACGTTGATCTTTCCTGCTTTCAGTGACCGACTGTGTGGGACTAACTGGTCACCCAGAGGGTCCGACATGGACTCCAGTCGCTCTCAGACTGGTGAAGGTTTGCCTGTGCTGTCTGTGTATCCTGCTTCTATGTAGTAGTTCATGTTAACGTCACAGTTACTCGCCGTCTCATCAGACAGACAGCGTGACCCGTTTTGATTGATTGATTGATTGATTGGTAATTTATTTCAAACATGTAAACAACCCGTTCAGTCACTGATGGATCTTATCGCTGTTTTGTCGCCATCTTGGGGAATCCAAGTCACTTTGAAGACAGCAGTTGACCGCAAGTGGTCTCAGACCGGGTAGCCATCTTCAAACCGATCGTTACCACGGCGACAACCACGCTCCCCATAGTGTGACTGTGGGCTGATTCTGCTGGACTGTGAACTTCCAGAGATTCCGATGTTTGCCGGGTTTAATGAGCTATCCTTCAGAAAGTCGTCACATGCAGAGGTTTGTTTATTATAAACTGTGAAGCAGATGTTTGTGGCATCTGTTCCTAATAAAGAGGCGTGTTTATTAATTAAGCTGTGCAGAGTAACACACACACAGACGTCTGACGTTAGCCGACGGAGCGTCTTTATTTGTGCTTGGGATGATGAAACGAGCTGGAAACGTGTTTCTACCGCGTGTGACGCTCTGCACGTTTCAACTTCACATGTTTGCAGATTCATCAGACTCAGAGCTGCAGCTCGACCTCATCGGGCCGACCAGCCCCTCACGTGATGCAGCTTTAATTAAGATTAAATGAGTGCCGGCCTGCAGATGCTCATCTGTGTGAAGCGATAACTGAAACAAATGAAAAGTGAAGTGCACACGTGAGGAAGCTTTCCTGTTATTCTCTGAGTCAGCAGGCCTGTGAAGACAAACGCTGCCAGGTATTTGTTTTCCAGAGTGCTGACCGAATAACGGCTCCTTAATACCGAACTCTGAACTGGCAGCTCGCAGCGAGAGGACCAACGCTCGCCGATATCTGCCTCCGGGAGCTCTTGGGGAAATTTCTCCCTTGCAGCTGCTGTTTGTTTCACTTTAAATTTCATCTCCGGGTCTCAGTCTGTGTAAAATCCATCTGACCTCGCAGATCTGCAGATTTGATAAACGTGCAGCGGCTCAGGAGCAGATCTGCGATTGCTTTTGTGATTCACAGTCAGCTGTGTCGCACCTTCATTTGCTTCATTCACACTAATACGTTTGAAAACATCTTTTTCTCTCCGTTTTGGCTTTCCATCCACACTCAGACGGCGTTTTGAAAACGCTCTCCAAAGCGGATGCATTTGAAAACGCTGTTTTGGCGTCGCAGTGTGGACGGCAAGAACGGAGCCTTTCGGAAACGATGACGCATTTTAGCCATGTGATGCAGTCTTGTGACCAATTCAACTAAAACGGCAGACGTACTGTACAGCAGCAGTTTCGTTTGCTCTCAATTGTGACGGCCCTAATAAAGATTAATATCAGTTTGTAAGTGCTCCAGATAGCTCCAGATAACAGTCGATGCTTTTCCTCGACATTTCATCGCAACTTTTCAAAGAGCAGGAAAGAAAAGGTCGAATCGTCCTACGTTTCACGTGTGCACAGGAAGATTTCCAGTGTGGATGAAAAGGATTGAAAACGATAGTGTGGACGTGGAGCGTTCTTAGACGAAAACACCGTTTTCAAATTTATCCGGATTAGTGTAGACGCAGCCTTAAACACTTTCATTGTCATTTATTCAAGACAGACCGCTGTCACGACATCCTGGGGAAAAATCACGATCATCATATCTTTAAAAAAATGTCAAGTACTGAAAAGCGAAGTCTTGGTAAGAACCAGCAGGGGGCGACTCCTTGCCGTTGCACTGCAGAGCGCCCCCTTGTGTTTTTGCTCTGTAACTGTCAGCCAATACCTCGCACATTCCCGCCTCTTGTCCTCCTTGAATTTTGACGTTTGTCTTCTTGTGTGGTCGGTGACACTTTGTAATCACCGCGCTTAATAAAGTGTAAAACCTGTAATCTGTTCTGTGTATAAACCTGGCTGATGTATATGATATAAGCTGTGGTCAAAGGTTTGGACAGCAGGTCCATCACAGGCTGATAACAGCCTGCAGCTGTCTGTGGGCAGGTGGCAGGCGCACTGCTGTAGCTCCATGTAACAACAGTAACAACAGCTTCATATGCAGGAAGCTCGATGAGTTGGATTCTTCCTCAGGAGCTCGTTCCTGGTGTTTCGAGGCTCCACTCGTCTCCTCCGTGGTTTTAATGGTCGTAGAAGTTTTTCTATTCAGTGATTTATGTCCGTGTGTCCTTCAGAGATCAGCGGACAGACTCAATGTTTTTATTTCCATCATTCAGACCGAAACCCAGAGCAGTGCTCACGGGGAGATTGTCTGAAT